TAAGTTCTTAAGCCTATAATCTAGAATCAGCCAAGAGCAACCCCATAATTTAGTGTTCAGGTCACCCCAGAACCTGACACACACGATACCCATAAATACACCTAATGCAATACATAACAAACATAATAAGCAGATACAATCTAGAACTCAGAACCTACTAGGGATGAAGATATAGCAGAATATAGCAGCGGCCAGGGCGCAGTGGCTCACACCTGTAATCCCAGCACTTTGGGAGGCCGAGATGGTGTGATCACCTGAGGTTGGCGGTTTGAGACCAGCCTGACTAACATGGAGAAACCCCGTGTCTACTAAAAATACAAAATTAGCCCGGTGTGGTGGCACATGCCTGTAATCCAAGCTACTCAGGAGGCTGAGGCAGGAGAACTGTTTGAACCAGGGAGGCAAAAGTTGCAATGAGCTGAGATCACACCATTGCACTCCAGCCTGGGCAACAAGAGTGAAACTCCATCTCAAAAAAAAGCACAAAAAATATAAAAATTATCCAGTCTCATAACCCAGTCTCAAAATAAATAAATAAATAGATTTTAAAAATTTTAATTACATTTTTTTTTTTGAGGCAGAGTTTCCCTCTTGTTGCCCAGGCTGGAGTGCAATGGCACAATCTCGGCTCACCACAATCTCCTGCCTCCTGAGTTCAAGCGATTCTCCTGCCTCAGCCTCCCCAGTAGCTGGGATTACAGGCATGTGCCACTACGCCTGGCTAATTTTGTATTTTTAGTAGACACGGGGTTTCTCCATGTTGGTCAGGCTGGTCTTGAACTCCCAACCTCAGGTGATCCACCCACCTCTGCCTCCTGAAGTGCTGCGATTATAGGTGTGAGCCACCATATCTGGCCTTAGTTACATTTTTTTAAAAGAATATAGCAGGGGTCACATCCTTGGTTTTATCATGTGCCTAAGAGTTCGCTAGGAACTTAGAAGTGTCTATGGGGAGGGGCAGGGGATGGATCAAAAGGATGCACGTTGAGAATTGAGCATTTCCTGGAATAAAGACTGAGCTGGCAAAGGAGGGGGGTTGTTCTGGAAATAAGAACATTTCTAGGCTGAAGTCTCCAGAAGAGGAGAGAGCCTAGAACAAGCTTAGAATGCCAGAGTGGCAGATGGAGGAGAAAACCCACGATCTACCAGGGGACAAGTTCTAAACTAAGGCTGCACTGGGGGAAAAACTGACAGAAAATGAATGGGCCTAGAACCTGGAACCTGGGGAAGGAAAACATAATGTAGAACACTTCATTGGAAATCTTTTACATTTCAGAATGTGAAATTAGGGCCAGGCACAGTGGCTCGTGCCTGTAATTACAGCATTTTGGAAGGCCAGTGTGGGAGGATCACTTGAGCCCAGGAGTTCGAGAGAAAGCCTCAGTAGCAGAGCGAGACCCAATGTATAAACAACAACAGGCCAGGCGCAGTGACGCGTGCCTGTCATCCCTCTATTTTGGGAGGCAGGAGGATCACTTTAGGTCAGGAGTTTGAGACCAGCTTGGCCAACATCGTGAAACCCCATCTCTACTAAAAATACAAATATCAGCCAGGCATGGTGGCATGTGCCTGTAGTCCCAGCTACTTAGGAGGCTGAGGCAGGAGAATTGCTTGAACCCGGCAGCCAGAGGTTGCAGTGAGCCGAGATAGCACCACCGCACTCCAACCTGGGTGACAGAGCAAGACTCCATCTCAAAATAAAATAGAATAAAATAAAAACTAAACAACAACAAAAAATAATGTGCAATTGAATGGAACTTAGAACGTAAAACAGGGAAACAGGGAAGGGCATTCTAGAATCAATAGCACGAATTAGGAAGCCTAGGGCACATACTTAGAACACACACATTTTAGAAGTTAGATTGCCTCTCGGAAGACAGTGGAATCTAGAAAAATGTGGCTGGAACCTAGAACACACTTAAAGTGAACATTTAGCAAAGAAGGAAGGACTGGTTGCTAGAACTTTGGAACATGTCTGAGGAGACAGTGGGATCAGAATCTGGCTCAGGGGTCGTATCTAAATATTTTAAAACAACAAATGAGAAAAGACATGCCTAGAATTTGGCATCTGGCCTAGAACTCAGACCATGTCTTGAGTGAGAGTGGAACACAGAACAGAGATCAACTGGGAGTTTTTCTGTGTTTAGAAGGAGTCTAGAACATGGAGCAATGCAAGAGCACATGTGCAACAAGAAATGTGGCCAGACTGAACTCGAGGACCCACACCTGTAATTCCAGCACTCTAGGGAGCCGAGGGAGAGGGATCAATTGAGCCTAGGAGTTTGAGACCAGTCTGGGCAACATTGTGAAACCCCCATCTCTATTAAAAAAAAAATTTTTTTTTTTTTTGAGAGAGTTTCACTCTTGTTGCCCAGGCTGGAGTGCAATGGCGTGATCTCGGCTCACTGCAACCTCCGCCTCCTGGGTTCAAGCGATTCTCCTGCCTCAGCCTCCCAATTAGCTGGGATTACAGGCATGTGCCACCATGCCCAGCTAATTTTGTACGTTTAGTAGAGACCGGGTTTCTCCATGTTGGTCAGGCTGGTCTTGAACTCCCAACCTCAGGTAATCTGCCTGCCTAGGCCTCCCAAAGTGCTGGGATTACAGGTGTGAGCCACCACACCTGGCCAAAAAAAAGTTTTTTTTTTTAATTAGCCAGGCCTGGTGATGTGTGCCTGTGGTTTCAGCTACTCAGGAGGCTAAAGTGAGAGGATCTTCTGAGCCCGGCAAGGTGGAGGCTGCAGTCAGCTGTGATTATGCCACTGCACTCCAGGTTGGGCAATAGAGAGATAACTTGTCAAGGAAGAAAGGGAAAAGAAAGAAAGGAAAAAAGAAAGGAAGAAAGAAAGAAAGAAAAAGAAAGAGGAAAGAAAGAAAGAGAGAGAGTAGAAAGAAAGAAGGGTGGGAGAGAAAGAGAAAGAAGGAAAGAGAAAGAAAGAAAAGAAAAGAAGGAAAAGAAGGAAGGAAAGAAGAAAGAAAAAGAAAGAAGGAAAGAAAGAAGGAAGGAAAGAAGAAAGAAATTTGGATGACGGTAGGTAGCTTCTAGATTTCCTTAAGAGCCCACGCCACCGAATACATGTGGAGGAAGTGATGTGTGTCGGCTCATTGGCCTTGGAGAGTGTACTTGGAGAATGGGAACTCATATGGGCCTCATGGGGCAATGGAGTGCTGGAAACATCTCAAGAAGCTGGGTCTTGGGAGAGAGAGTAGAGACTTCCAAAGCCACCACCTGGGGTGACATGAGGATGAGACAGGGGTTTGTTAAGGCCACAGGAGATGTGAAGTTGATGGGGCAGAATGATGAGAGTGTGAAGACCTGGTCCCTAAAAGTGAGAGCTGAGGAACTAGATACCTGCTGGGGAAGGCAGTGGACAGAGCTAGGAGCCTGGACTCCTGAATCGTTGTAGAGGTAAATGATGAGGGATTGGAAGCTGACAGCCTGAGGTCTTGTTTGGAGAGAGGGTTTGGGGTGGACAGCCTCGGTAAAAGCTGGTGGGCAGTACAGAAACTGGGGTCTGAACTCCTGGGTCCCTGAGGGGATACAAGACTGGGTCCAGGACATTTAGGTCCCCAAGGGAGAGTGTAAACAGAAATCAGAGAACTGCATTAAGAATCACATTCCGGATCCCCCAAAGGAAACGAGTCATGGCGCCTGAGTCCCTCAGGGAGCAGATGCTGGGTGCCAGGAGCCTGAGTCTATGGGTCTGCGGGACACAAGGACTGTTGAACCAGGTTCTAAGCAGAGCAATGCTGGGGAACAGGATTCCTAGGTTCTGACGGGGTGAGGGCTACCACCTGGGGCCAGCAGAGGTGTAGGCACGGACAGGCTTCCCGAACAGGGTGGGAGCTGCACGCCCGGGTGCCATGGTCCCCACGGCGACCAGAACAGGAAAATTCAGAGGCGCTGGCTCCTCAGGGAGCTGCTGGAGTCCCAGGAACCTGGGGTGCCGAGGACCGGGCCACGAGCCTGGCCGGCGGAGCCCCGCGGCCAGGGCGCCCGGGTCGGGGAGGGCCCGGGTATCCCCGGGTCAAAGACTCGGCGGGGGGGATCCCCGCGCCGCCTGCGCCCCCTCCCTGGCGGCGGCGGCGGGCGGTGGGGGGAGGCAAGGCTGCCGAGCGCGCTGACCATGGACAGCTCCAGAGCGGGCCTGTGTCCAGGGCGGCCGCCTAGCCTGCCTGGACCGAGAGACGCGGCCGGCCGTGCAAGCCCGAGCCTGACGAAGGGAGACGGGGTGCGCGAAGCGGGGACGATGCGGACGCGCCGGGGGAGTCTGGCACCGCCGCGGCGGGTGTCTGGAGCTCCCTGAACAGGGCCGGGAAGGGGGATCTAGGCTCCAGGGGGTCCCGGGGCTGGACCGGGAAATCCAGGCTCCTGGGCCCTGGAGGAGGCGCGAGGCGGCGGTGCGCCCGGGATTCTAGGGTTCGGTCGGGGACTCTGGGCGCCGGGAGGGGCACGCCTGGGTCCCCGGGGTTGGGCTGTGAAATCGGGGCTTGGGGGTCCCCGGGGATGAGGAAGGGAATCAGGGATCTCGGGGAAGCGGGGGAGGCTCTCCAAGGGGTCCCCGGGGTGGGCGCTGCCAGGAGGGCCGGGCCGGGCTCTTACCTGCCTGGTCCGCGGCGGCTGCGGGCGGAGCTGGGCTGCAGGAGGGACCTGGGGTGGAGTGGGGGGGCCGGGCGGGGCCCCTGGCAGCGGCCGGGGCCCGGCTCTGTCGCTCCGGAGCCCTGGAGCCCTGTCTCCGCCGCTCGCGCGGGCTCCGCGTCTCTGGCTCCGGCTCGGGCGCTGGGGACCCCCCTCCCCCTCACGTTCTCACTGCCTTCTACCCCCAAAATAGCCCCTTGCCCCTGTCACCGTTCAGCTTCCCCCCGCGAGGCCGCAGCCGCCAGATCCAGGGGTGCCCACCAGCGCCCCCAAATCCCACCTTCCCCCCAAAAAAATTCCTTCTCCCTCCCCCTTCCCCCCCCACAGCTCCCGGGCGGTCGTGGCCCCTTTAACAGGAGACTGACAGACGGCGACGGGCGGCCAATGGGAGGAAGCGTCGGCGCCGGCCGGCGACTAGACCCCGCCTCCACACCGGCAGGGAGGGGTCGCGCGGGCGGAGGGCGAGAGGCGGGGCATAAGGCTCGTCTACCAATAGGCGCGCGGCGTGCGGCGGCTGGGGCGGGGGGCGGAGCCCGGCAGGGGGATGATGTCACCCGGAGCGAGTAGCGCGCGGCGTGGAACGCGTGTCGCGACCCCGGCTCCCGGCAGTGGCGCGCGCCGGCCCTCGCGCCGCACGGGACACGAGGGCTGGGCGGGCAGCGGGTTGAGGCTAAAGGTTGGATTTCAAGGCGGAGGCAGCTTCCGGAAAGACGCGCTCTGGTTGGAAGGTGGAGTGAGCGCCTGGTGGGCGAGGGCACCTCATTCTGCACCCCTGCGCCCGCCTCGGGAACTGCACGCGGCACCCCCACCCGCGACTCCCACGCAGACGGTAGTGCGGCCTGCAGGGTTCCCCCGGCGGAAGAGGCTAATGGTTCGCTCCGCCCCGCCCACACAGAGGCCGCCCACTAGCTCCGGCTGCGTTTCAGGACTCCGGAGGATGGGACTTGGCCTTCGCCCTCAGACGCTCTTAAGGGTAGGCGGCGTTGTCCTCAGTTCTTCCCCGGCACTCAGACCCAGACGGGGTCCTGGCCTCCGCCCTCGGACTAGCCCCTTGGAAGCCGGCCTGATTCCGCCTTTAGACCTAGCGAGAGGTCTCAACCTCTGCTCTCAGACTCCGAAAAGGGCTTCTCAAAGACTTGGCCTGACCTCAGCTCCTCACGTTCCCCCACATCTCAAGACACCAACACAGCGGTGCAGGACAGACACACAGACACTCAATGAGGGTCAAAGATCTTTAAATAAGGTGCCAGGGACAATAAATACTGTACAGGGAGAGGGTGCTCGTGAGCGTCCGGATCTGTGGTTTCAGCCTCGAGACTCCAAGGACCTGCAAGGGGGTAGAGAAGGGACCTGGGTTCAACGGGGGCTCCGGGTAGATGAGAGGCAGGATTGGGGATGCAGAGGCAAGGTGGGTGGGCTGAGGGATCCCAGCCACAGTAGGTTCCACATCTTGGGATGGAAGGAAGCTAAGAGGTCCCCAGGCGATTCAGCCAGAAGAGCCTGGGGTGACGGCCTGGGCCAGGGGTCAAGGGTCAGGATCCCAGAGGAGGGGCCAGGGCTGGAATGTCCAGGAAGCACTGGCCTGGTTTGGGAGCCTGGGGCTAAAGGGAGCCAGTGGAGGCCCCAGGGGTGTGGTGACACAGGGACTCACGAGTAGCTCTGATGCTGCTGGCGCCGGCGGGCCGAGCGCATCTTCTCAAACCGGGCCTCCATCTCCTCCAGCACTCGAGGTGTGTAACGCACCACCAGCTTCACCGAGCCCTGGGCCGCCTTCAGCAGCTCCACCGCCTTCTCGTGCTGCTCACCCTCAACACTCTGTGGTGCCCAACACAGATGCTGGGCCTGGGGCCGGCTGCCCTTGCCCAGCCCTCTCCCCCCAGGGAGAGGGGACCCACTGCTGGTGAGCCTGGTGCCAGCCCTGAGATGCCAATGCCTTATGTCCTCCTTGTGGAAGAGTCATTAACTCCTGGTTCAGTGTCCTCCTCCAAAACCTGCGAGGCTCCCCACGTCAGGGGAAGCCCCATGTTCCCTCAGTCCCTGGCCAAACATCCAGGCCCATCTTTATGGCCTCCCTGCCCACAGCCCACTCATGCCCGCCTGCCTTGACTCCCTCTTCTTTGTCCCCACAGCCCTGGCCCCAGCTCAGGCCTTGTCCTCTTTCCTCTGGAGTCTTACCCCAGCCTCCTCCCTGGCCTTCTGGCCTCCAGTCTCTCCCCGCAGTCCATCTCCCATAGGCTCCCAGAGGGGTCTTTCTGTACCTGCAAGCTGAGCTTATCCCTGGCTCACCCCTTGCCTCCCGTGGCTCCCCAGCGCCCATGGGACAAAGTCCCAGCTTCTCAGGTGACACTCAGGCCCTGCATGGCTGACCCCAGCCACCTCTCCAGTTATGCTTCCCTCAACTCTAACCACAGTGATTTTTTTTTTTTTTTTTTTTGAGATGGAGTCTCACTCTGTCACCCAGGCTGAAGTACAATGGTGTGATCTCAGCTCACTGCAACCTCCACCTCCCAGGTTCAAGTGATTCCCCTGCCTCAGCCTCCGAAGTAGCTGGGATTACAGGTGTCTGCCACCATGCCCAGCTAATTTTTGTGTTTTTAGTAGAGATGGGGTTTCACCATGTTGGCCAGGATGGTCTCAAACTCCTGACTTCAGGTGATCCACCCGCCTCGGCCTCTCAAAGTGCTGAGATTACAGGTGCGGGCCACTGCGCCCTACCTAACCACAGTGATTTTTAATTACCTGCATGCCCAGACCTCCATGAGAACCAAGCCCTTTCTTTTCAGCTCAGAGGTATGCCAAGTCAGTATCCTCCACAGTACCTTCAGCAGGAACACCCTTTACCTTGTTTGCCTGGAGAACTCCTACTCATCCTTCAACACCCAACCCAAATGTTTCTTACTCTGAAAAACCTTCCTGCATCTACACTGGCCTGGTGCCTTATCTGGGCTGTCACAATACTTTGCACTTCCTCATTGTTATGTTTCTGGATTAGGACTTTTTCAGCCAGGGCCTACTGCCCTCCCCACAGAGGGAAGGTTGGGTGTAGGAGCTGAGGCCAACATCTCTCAGGATCTGTAACATTGCCCAGCACAGGGCTAGCCATAGAGGCAGTGCTCAGTGTGTGCTGAATCAAGTCAAAAGCAGGGGCTATGCTACCTTGGACAGACTGTGTCCCCCAGCCCTGCCTCAGCCCCCCACTCACCACACCATTGACGGACAACAGTTGGTCCCCACGCTTGAGGCCTCCATGGCGGTCAGCCACGCCCCCCGGGATGACCCGGGAGATGTAGATGGGCGAGTTCTGCTCTTTGCCACCCATGATGTTGAAGCCCAGGCCCTCATCCGTCTTGGGCAGCTCCACTACCCGGGGATGTGCGTGGCCCTCGCTGGCTGTGAAGGCAGCCACTGTGGCCTGGGAGAGAGAAAGCAGCTGGAGATGAGACTCCTCCAAGGTGGGCATGAAGGCTGGAGAGGGGAATATGGACCGAGGACAGCAATTTAGCCTGGGTTGCTATCCCCAAGCCTGGGACACTTGCCATGACACAATGAAAGATCCCCCTGAAATGTCTGTGTGCCCCCTTCCCTTCACTTTGCAAGAGAATGTGTCCATTTGGTGTGAGTGTGTCTTGAATATCCCACGCTTGCCAATCTTACCTTTTTTTTTTTTTTTTTTTTTTTTTTGAGATGAAGTCTCGCTCTGTTTCCCAGGCTGGAGTGCAGTGCCACAATTTCAGCTTTTTGGCTCACGGCAACCTCTGCCTCCTGGGTTCAAGCGATTCTCCTGTCTCAGCCTCCCGAGTAACTGGGATTACAGGCGTGCACCACCACACCCAGCTAAATTTTTTGTAATTTTGTAGAGATGGGGTTTCACCATGTTGGCCAGGCTGGTCTTGAACTCCTGACCTCAAGTCAGGACCCACCTCAGCCTCCCAAAGTGCTAGGATTACAGGCATAAGCCAACACGCCCGGTCTCAATCTTACTTTTTGTTTTTTTAGAGGCAGGGTTTCACCACGTTGGCCAGGCTGGTCTCAAACTCCTGACCTCAGGCCATCCGCCCACCTCGGGCTCCCAAAGTGCTGGGATTACAGGCGTGAGCCACTGCACCCAGCTCTTCCATCTTACTTTTAAACTTAGGAAAGCCAGGCCTGGAGGGAGCCCAGAGCCTCCGGCAGAAGCAAGAGGCAGCATCTCACTATGGTGCAGTGGGATGTCAGCGCGCCATGACTTTCCTGGTTTACACTGTACAGATGTTGAAGCTGGCCATGCCACACTGGTTTCCATTTGCAGTTGCTAAAAAGATACCTTCGTATGACATTTGTTTTAAGTTAAAAATGTGCAATTATTTAATAATAGGAAGGGCGGCACATAGATTTGGCAAAAATCTTGAGGGAGGAAACAAATGACTGGCGTGAAGGCGATAACTGAGCTCCACCAGGCAGCTACGCAGATAGCAGATGCAATGGAATGGGGTGAGGGGCCCACCTTGGCTGTGGCATGGGCCCGGATCTCGGCGCTGCCGGTGAGGTCCAGCGTGTCATAGAGCTGCTCATACACCTGGGTGAAGAGGCAGCCGCATCAGGGAGCCGCCAGCCCTTCCGGCCCTAGACACAGGAGTCCGGGCCCCTAGACACTCTCCCGATCCCACGCCAGGATCCGCCCCGCCCCCGCAACCAGAGCCCGAGGAAACTACAACTCCCGAAGAGCCCCTGAGCTGAAGAGTGGGCATCCCAAGGCGGGACGCCTCGGGAGCTGCCGGGAGGCGTAGTCCCCGAGCTCGAGGCGAGCAGAAAGAAGAGGAGGAGGACGGCGGTCGCCAGCTCGCGCCCCTGCTCCGCGCGCCGCTCACCTCTCGGATAGCGGAGCAGAAGCGGCTCTGCAGGACTCTCTGGAGGGCCTGCAGCTTCTGCGGGGGCAGCTCTCCGCTGCGCTGGAGCCGCTCGAGGAGCTCGACGGCCCGGGACACGTCTGCGGGGCGGGGGCGGGGCGCAGAGACCGCGAGTGTCAGAGACCCCGAGACGCAGAGGAGCGAGGAGAGCGGCGGAGTGAGGGCGAGCGCACAGCCCCGGGAGGACGGCCGAAGCCCAGTCGGACGCCCTGCAGAGTCCAGGGTGACGCAGGAGAAACCGCCACCAGCCGGGCGCCCTGCGGTCCTGGGACCGCTCCACAGGCCGGGGTGTAAGGCGGGCGCCCGCGGCCCCGGCCCGCGCCCACGGAGCCTCCCACACCCCCCGACCGCCCGGCCCCGGTGCCCGCCCCGCCCACCCGCGCCGGCCAGGCCCGGGAAGGGAGGGGACCGGGGACTGGGGACGCAGGCCGCGGTGGGCAGGGCCCCCTGGCGCGCGCTTACCCCGCTCCAGCCCCAGCGGCTCCACCAGCGCAGCCATGTCGGCGCCACCGCTGCCAGCCGCCCGCCTGCCCCGGCGCCTGCGAGGGGGGCGGGGCTGCGCGAGGCCACGCCCCGGGCCACGGGCGCCCCCTGCGGAGGCGCGCCTGGAGAGCGCCCAGCTCCCCGACGCCGGACCGCCCCGACCCGCTGCCCCGCGCCACCCGCAGCCCTGCCCTCCGCCCCGGCCAGTCGGTCCTGTTGGCGAGCCCTCCCATTGCAGGTTCGGTCTGTGTGTCCCTTTCACGATCCCTGTCTGCCTGCCCTCCACACCTGTCTACCCCCTGTCCATCCTTTTCCCACATTCATTCAACAAACTCTTGTGAAACATCTTCTGGGCCCAAGGCATGGACACCGTGGTGAGCAGGGCAGCCAAGCCCACGGCCCGAACGGAGCTTCCAGTCTATGGGGGCAGTAAACAGCCAACCACGACTGTGATGAGAGCTGAGTGGGAAGGTGATGATCCAGAAGACGAAGGAAATCCTAGAGGAGGTACTTCACAGAGTCCTGGGAGGTAAGGTGAACACCCCCGCCACGCAGAAAGAGCCCACGTGGCTGGAAGCAGAGTTGGGATTCGTTGATAATGAGGTGAAAAGGCCGGCAGGATAGTTTATGCCTGGGCTCCTGCGTTGGCATGTGTGTCGAGGATTTGGGGCTTCATGCAAACTCCTAACGGTAAAATATGGCGCTCAAATTTGTATTTATTTACTTATTTTTGAGACGGAGTTTCGCTCTTGTTGCCCAGGCTGGAGTGCAATGGCGCCACTCCGTCTTCCGGGTTCAGGTGATTCTCCTGCCTCAGCCTCCGGAGTAGCTGGGATCACAGGCATGCGCCACCACGCCCGGCAAATTTTGTATTTTTAGTAGAGACGGGGTTTCTCCATGTTGGTCAGGCTGGTCTCAAACTCCACCCGCCTCGGCCTCCGAAAGTGCTGGGATTACAGGCCTCGTGAGCCACCGCACCAGGCCTGCTTTGGTGACATTTTAAGATGGTCTACACGGGAGGAGGGATACTGGATATTTTGTTTTGTGAGTCGAAGTCTCACTCTGCTGCCCAGGCTCGAGTGCAGTGTTGCGATCTTAGCTCACTGCAACCTCTGCCTCCCGGGTTCAAGCGATTCTCCTGCCGCAGCCTCTCGAGTAGCTGAGACTGCAGGCACGCACCACCACGCTCGCCTCGGCCTCCCAAAGTTCTGGTAGTACAAGCATGAGCCGCCTTGCCCGGTGGATACTGGGTATTTTGAATTTGAGGAGCCTCTGCAGAATCCATGGGGAGAAGCAGTCGATCTAGGGCTCAAAAGAGCAACCTGGTCTGCAGGCATCCTTGAGTACTGGGGCACAGGTGGTAAATGAAACCACAGGAGTGGATAAGAATGTCAGGGGCGGCCGGGCGCAGTGGCTCACGCCTATAATCCCAGCACTTTGGGAGGCCGAGGCGGGTGGATCACGAGGTCAAGAGATCGAGACCATCCTGGTCAACATGGTGAAACCCCGTCTCTACTAAAAATACAAAAAATTAGCTGGGCATGGTGGTGCGTGCCTGTAATCCCGGCTACTCAGGAGGCTGAGGCAGGAGAATTGCCTGAACCCAGGAGGCGGAGGTTGCGGTGAGCCGAGATCGCGCCATTGCACTCCAGCCTGGGTAACAAGAGGGAAACTCCGTCTCAAAAAAAAAAAAAAAAAAGAATGTCAGGGGCAAGAGAATATAAAGAGGGCCTAGGACTGGTCCCCAAACCTCTCTAACACTTAAAAGGGGGACAGCAGAGAATGGCCTGAAATGTAGGAGGAAACCCAGGTGGGAGAAACTATGAGAAGAGAGTTTAAAAAAAAAATTTTTTTTTAGAGGGGTCTTCATTGCTTAGGTTGGTCTTGAACTCCTAGGCTCAAACGATCTTCCTGCCTCGGCCTCCCAAAGTGCTGAGTTTACAGGCATGAGCCGCTGTGCACGGCTGAGAGTGTTTTAATAAAGAGGAAGTGGTCAGTGGTATCATGCTGGAGAGGCCCAGATGTGGGACAAGGCTTTGGAGAAGTCTGGCTGCTGCTCTTTTGGTTCCACTGGGTGGCGATATGGAGTCCAGAAAAGGGCTTGTTCCAAGTGGGAGGACTAGAGCAGGTTTGTCTGGCTGTCTCATTCCCTCTATTTCTCTCTTTAGCAAAAAGTAATGTGTTCATGGGATTAAAAACAAAATCAAGGCCGGGCGCGCTGGCTCACGCCTGTAATCCAAGCACTTTGGAGGCCAAGGCGGGCGGATCACCTGAGGTCGGGGGTTCAAGACAAGCCTGACCAAGATGGTGAAACCCCTCTTTAAAAAAAAAAAAAAATCAAATAACACAGACGGGCCAATAGGGAGAAGCAGCAGCTTCTGTACCTCTTACTCACTGCGAGAGGGAACTTACAGATATTTTGTCTGAGAGCTGCTTCTCTAAGTAACATGCTATGTCTTATGTATTACTTTTTTTGAGACAGAGTCTTGCTCTTCGCCCAGGCTGGAGTACAGTGGGGCAATCTCAACTCACTGCAACCTCCGCCTCCCGGGTTCAAGTGATTCCCCTGCCTCAGCCTCCCAAACAGCTGGGACAATAGGCATGCACTACCACACCCAGCTAATTTTTTGTATTTTTAGTAGAAATGGGGCTTCACCATATTGGCCAGGCTGGTCTCTAACTCCTGACCTCATGATCCACCCGACTTGGCCTCCCAAAGTGCTGGGATTACAGGCGTGAGCCACCGCACCTGGTATTTTATTTTTTGAGATGGAGTCTCACGCTGTTGCCCAGGCTGGAGTGCAGTGGCGCAATCTCAGCTAACTGCAACCTGCACCTCCTGCATTCAAGTGATTCTTCTACCTCTGCCTCCTAGCAGCTGGAATTACAGGTGCCCACCACCACGCCCAGCTAATTTATATATATATATATATATATATATATAATTTTTTTTTTTTTTTTTTTTTTTTTTTTTTTTGAGACGGAGTTTCACTCTTGTTACCCAGGCTGGAGTGCAATGGCGCGATCTCGGCTCACCGCAACCTCCGCCTCCTGGGTTCAGGCAATTCTCCTGCCTCAGCCTCCTGAGTAGCTGGGATTACAGGCACGCGCCACCATGCCCAGCTGATTTTTTGTAGTTTTAGTAGAGACGGGGTTTCACCGTGTTGACCAGGATGGTCTCGATCTCTTGACCTCGTGATCCACCCACCTCGGCCTCCCAAAGTGCTGGGATTACAGGCGTGAGCCACCGCGCCCGGCCAATTTTTATATTTTTAGTAGCGAAGGGGTTTCCCCATGTTGGCCAGGCTGGTCTTGAACTCCTGACCTCAAGTGATCCGCCCACTTCAGCCTCCCAAAGTGCTAGGATTACAGGCATGAGCCACTTAGCCTGGTCCTTGATTGATCAATTTAGATGTACTAGATTACAGATTTTCTGCTCTTATCATCTTTCCCCTAAACTTCTGGGAAACTTTAGTTCTCTCACCCCACGCTGAACCAATTGCTCTCTAGAAACTGCCATCCGGGGACTTCCCTCCACTTGTCTCCTGAAGTACATCCAGTTTCCTATTGTAAGTCCTTCATTTTAGTGAAGTATGGCTTCAGTTACTCGTAAAGAGGCTGTGAGATGTCCCTTTCAAGAAAGTTTGTTCACGCCAATCTTTCCCAGTATTTCTAAGGAAGACTCCAGGTTATCTAGTCTTATCAACTACTAAATTCTTTTTTTTTTTTTTGCTGTTGTTGCTACAGGGTCTCATCTTGCTGTCCAGGATGAAGTGCAGTCGTGTGATCATGGCTAACTGCAGCCTCGACCTCCCTGGGGTCAGGTAATCCTTCCACCTGCCACCTGAGTAGCTGGGACCATAGGCACACGCTACCACATCTGGCTAGTTTTTCTAATATTTATAGAGACCAGGCTTTTGCCATGTTGCCCAGGCTGGTCTCCCATCTCCTGGGCTCAAGTGATCTTCCCACCTTGGCCTCCCAAAGTATTGAGTTTACAGGCATGAACCACCATGCCTGGCCACCACTTACTTTTTAATTCCAATTATGTTTTCCAGTTCTAGAATTGCCATATTTTTGGTGTCAGATTCGAGATTTTTTTTTTTTTTGAGACGAAGTTTCACTCAGTTGCTCAAGGTAGAGTGCAGTGGCACGATCTGGGCTCACTTCAGTCTCCACCTCCCAGTTCAAGTGACTCTCCTGCCTCAGCCTCCCAAGTAGCTGGGACTACAGGCACGCACCACCATGCCCAGCTAATGTTGTTGTATTTTTTAGTAGAGATGGGGTTTCACTGTGTTGGCCAGGCTGGTCTTAAACTCCTAAACTCGTGATCCACCCACCTCAACCTCCCAAAGTGCTGGGATTACAGGGTAAGCCACTGTGCCTGTTTGTTTTTGAGATGGTGTCTTTGTCTGTCACCCAGGCTAGAGTGCAGTGGTGTGATCATAGCTCGCTGCAATCTCAAAGTCCTTGGCTTAAGGAATCCTGGAATCCTACCTCTGCCTCTCAGGTAGCTAGATTCCAGATATCTTAACATTCTCCACATCTTTTTCTTATTTTCTGAATATATCATAGCTCTGATAACTCCATCATCTGAATCACCCCTGGGTTTCTTTCTATTGTCTATTTTGTTTGCCTCTCGGTTTTCAGCAAATTAATTCCTTTCTAACAAACCTGGTAACTTTTGAGTAGATGCTGTGTAATGGGTATAAAAATAGTACATGTGGAGGCTCAGAATGCTTATCTTCTTTCAGAGTTTTCTTCTGACTGGCAGATTGCCCGATTCCTGACAAAGTCTGGTTTTAGGCTTTCTTAGCCTGCCTATTTGTATTTTTTGACACGGAGTCTCACTCCGTTGCCCAGGCTGGAGTGCAGTGGCGTGATCTCTGCTCACTGCAACCTCCACCTCTCAGGTTGAACCGATTCTCCTGCCTCAGCCTCCCAAGTAGCTAGGATTACAGTCCTGTGCCACCATATTCAGCCTTTTTTTTTTTTTTTTTTTTTTTGGAGACAAAAGTCTTTGTTCTGTTACCCAGGCTGGAGTGAGGTAGCACGATCTCCACTCACCACAGCCTCCCCCTCCTAGGTTCAAGCGATTCTCGTGCTTTAGCTTCCCGAGTACCTGGGATTACTGGCGCTCCCTACCACGCCCAGCTAATTTTTGTATTTTTTAGTAGAGATGGGGTTTTGCTGTGTTGGCCAGGCTGGTCCCAAACTCCTGACCTCAGGTGATCTGCCCATCTCAGTCTCCCAAAGTGCTGGGACTACAGGTGTGTAGCCTCTGGCTAATTTTTGTATTTTTGGTAGAGATGGGGTTTCACCATGTTGGCCAGGCTGGTCTCTAACTCCTGGCCTCAAGTGATCCGACCGCCTCTGCCTCCCAAAGTGCTGGGATGACAGGCATGAGCCAGCATGCCTGGCCTCTTAGCCTGATTCCCTGTTGTGGCCTTACTCTGATATTCAGGCACCCTGGGCATCTCAAGCAGGGTCATTCCACCACGGTGGGCCCAGAACAGCATGGCTGCTGCAATCTCCCGGCAGTCAGTTCCTTGGCCTCCCAGTTACTGCATTCTGATGAGTTTCCTGGGGGTCTTGCAATGACAGTCAGCAGCTTGAGTTGGTGAATGCGTCTGGGGAGGTGCGAGGAGATTTGGGAGCTCAGTGCCCTCCTCTCCCGTTTTGTCAGTCCCAGCTGCCTGGCTGAACCTCTGTGAACTTGGCCCAGTGGAAGTCAGTCCTGCCTGGTCGTCTCTTCCCCATGCTAAATGGCAAAACATCCTCAAGGAAAAGGCAAGGGTAAGCGTGAAACACACCTGTGTGCTTACAGACCACACCCCCTCAAGCCTCATCAAAGCGGCTGCTCTACAGCACCTTTCCTAAGTTTCTGTCTACTGCCCAGCCTTTATGTAACCATGTTAGTCCACAATGGGCTTTTTGTAGCCAGTACTAGAAGTCCGTAGTTGCAGTATCTGGGATCTCTATGAAATATACTAATTAGAGATATCAAGTTCTTTTATTCCTAAGTCATTTCTTCCAAGATCAGTTTTTCTGTTTATCTTGTGGTCTCTGTTTTTCCTCAAATGTCTGAGTATCCTTAGTTGGTTAAACTGAAGCCATTAAAAAGCAGATTGCAATTCTGCGTGCCAGTCACAGACCCTCTTGAGTTATCAGGCTGAGACGCTTCTGAGAGACACCAACACGTCTGAACTTGGCTTTGCCTTGGCACCCCCGGCCCAGCTCCCAGGCATCCTGAGTGCCAACAGGGAGGCCAGCTGTACAGAGCTCTGCCTCTGGCCTCCCACCCTCGCTCTCCTGCAGCTGCAGCCTTGACCCTCTAGGGTTCTGCAGGGTGGACTGGCTTCTCAGCACTCACCAGACTCAAGTGTCCTCACCACCCTGTCTTTAATCTTTTGTCCAGGCATCTGCTTGAAATTTCAACTGCTGGTGGAACCTCTTCTGTGTTTCTGTTCGTTATTCCTGTCACTACGAAGTATGTGAGGCCCCGCCCACCCTTCCTGCTCCACCCCATCTCACCCGCAAGGTGTGTTCACATTCAAAACTGCTGCTTCCCCTGAGTAAAGGAGTCCCCTCCTAAATCCCTGCCCCCACCAAGGCAGGGGTATGGTCAGCTCTGAGGAATGTGTGGAAAAGGTGGAAAAAAAAAAAGAGGGTGAAAAACACAAGGGCGACAAGGAGCCCTAGAGAGGCCTCCTCACCCCACTTTCAACAGCTCTGGCTACCGGGCACAGCCAGCCTCAAGCTGTAACTACGCCCGGGAAACCAAACTAAGTAGGGCTATCGAGTCAGGGACAACCTTGCGGGGAAGACGGAGCAGTGAAGGAACCAAGGTGCCCAGTAGCAACAGGAAATTAATTTTATTTTTAAATCCAAGGGGCCAGAACAAATGAGACACCTACCCTTGGAGGACAAACTGAGGTGGCCAAGGTTGGGGGAGGGGATGACAGCAAGGGGGTGGGGCAGGAACGCGTCCAATCACAGCAGGTGGAGAGGACCGCTTCACTCCGGCGCAGCCTCCATCAAATACCCATTCTCCGGAGCCAGGTAGCTGTCGCCGCCCTCGGACTCCATGTACATGTCTCGGCTGTCGTTGCCCAGACCTTCCAACCCGTTGTCCTGGCCGCCGCCGCCCCCACCTCGGGCCTCATCCCTGCCCCGCTCACTGCCCCGCTCCCCCCGCTTGTGCTCGCGGTCACGGTCGCGGTCACGATCCCGGTCCCGGCGCCGCTCACGCTCACTCCGGTGGCTCCGCCGTCTCTCCCGGTCACGATCCCGGCCCTTTTCCTCTGGACCATCAGGGCCGTCAGGCCCGAGCTCCCCTGGAGGCCCGTCATCAGGTGGCGCATCACCCGCCTCGGAGGGCTCCGCCATGTCGCCACCGCCTCCACGCAGCTCCTCCTTGCGCTCCCGCTCCCGCCGGGCCCGTTCCCGGCTCCGACTGCTTCGCCGTTTCCGGTCCCGGTCCTTGTCCTTGCTCCGCTCCCTGGAGCGCCTCCGCTCCTCCTTGTCTCGACTCCGTGAGCGCCTCCTCCGGTCCCGAGAGCGGGAGCGTCGCCGTTCTCGCTCCTTGTCTCGCTCCCGGCTCCGCTCTCTGCGCTCCCGCTCGCGGTCCCGGTCCCGGTCCCTGTGCGGAAGCGGGGAGGGGCCGGGCCTGGATGAGGTGGGCAGACCTGTGTGATCGGGCTCCCCCGTGACCGCCCCCCGCCCCAGGACACCGGTCGCCCAATCTTACCTCTCATCGTAGCGGGAGGTGTCATCGCGGCCTGAATGCCGGATGTTCACATCAGCCCCTCCTCTTCTGGTACCACCGAGGCCTCCTCCTGGGGCAGGGCAGACGGACAGAGGGTGAGTCTAGGCAGGGGCAGGGCCCAGAGGAGCGGAAATAGGCAGCTCTGAGAGCAAAGGGCAGGAAGGCAGCCCTGGCTTAGTGTTCCCAGGGCCAGGTCCCTCCCGTGCAGTTCATCTCAGGCACTCCCATCACAAGACAACCACGTCTGCCGACACTGAGTAACCCACACAGAGCGTTCGCTGGGAAACAGCTGTTACTGGAACCCACCTCTGACCCCAAAGTGCACTTCACAGGCTTCTCAAAACGCTCCCAATCCTCCTCACCCTCACACAAAACCCAGGCCAATCATCTCTCCACCAGAAAATGTGCTCTGCTTGAAAGCCTTTGGTGGCATCCCCCAGCCTGAGGTCCAAATTCCGTCAACTGGTGGTAGAGGCAGCAAGAGCAGGCCCTGCCGGGGCCGCTGGCTCTGCGTGTCCCAGGCCTTTCCCAGTGTCCGCGCTCACCTTCTTCCTACCACAGTGTCTGCGCATTCTCCTCGCCCTGGACCGGCCTCCCCTTCCTTCTCTGGTGAACTCCCGCTCACCCTTAAGGCTAACCCAAGCATCCCTTCCTCGGGAAGCCGTTCCTGGCCATTCTACATACTCACAGTTGCAGAAAAACACTTCCTTTCCCCGGAGTTTCAGGTTTGCTACCTGTCTGAGTCCACCCCTACCTGCCTCTCAGACTGCAAGGCGCCGCCGGACCGCGCACGCGCTTGGCTCTTGCTCACGGTACCAGCAGGTGGCGCTGCAGCTAGTGTAGAAAGGTGGATGCGTATGTGTCAAGTGAATAAACGAACAGCCCCAAGGCACAGATGATAACCTCACTGTTCTGATGGGGAAAGGATCTCTGATCAAGTCACTGGCCCACAGCAAGGAAGGTGAAGAACTGGGCTGTCACTGCCGTCTGCTGCAGAACCTGCCTTCTCAAGCGCTCCTCCATCCCACACTGCCTGGAAAAGCTTCCGAGAGGCAGAGCTGAGTTGTGTACAGCAAAGAGGCTGTGGGGACACCAGGGAGACATTCATATAGGAAGCAGGCAGTGGGCCAGGCACCTGCCATGTCACAGGCACAGGGCAGCTAGACTAGCTTTTCCTCTTTCCAGGTCATGAACCAGCAGTGAGTCACATCATCAATCTGATGGGTTGCAACCAACAGCTTAAGAAACAAAACAGCACAATATACAATATACTTACTACACAGAAAAAACTGTTTCCTCAAGCTTTAGGTTGTAGTATTTCTGCGGGTGCACCAAGTCAAGATATTATTGGCTAACGCCAACAAAAAATGTGAATGCCAACTGCACTACAAGATTCTGAGATTCTGGAGAGACTCTAAGATTCCAGAATTCTCCCACCATGACAGGAAACAACAGAGGTATAAGAACCCACTCCACCCCAGAGACCAGAGTAAGCTAAGAACATGCCTGGTAAGCTCAGAGGCTCAGCAGCCGAGTGTGGTCTCCCTACCACAGTCGAATCCAGAGCGAGGACACAGGGCTGGGAGGCAGGACAGGAGCCCCGAGTGGCTACTACTGCCTGGCTGTCTGCCCAGGGACCATCTTCTTCTTCTCTGACAACTGTCACTCAGCTTTGCAGGATTCAGTCCTCAATAAGCATGCTTGAGGAACAGGACCCTGGGCCCAGGCCCATTACTGAGCCAGTCAGATGTGCCCACCCCGAAACAGAGACTCATCCAGGACTGAGTGTAAAGCTGGGGCCTGTGGCACGCTGCGCTGGGTCAGCGTGAGGAGGCACGGGACAGACCCAGCTGCATGGAGGCTAACGAGGCAGAAGCAAGCTGTGGGCAACCCAGCTTTTTTTTTTTTTTTTTTTGAGACAGTCTCGCTCTGTCGCCCCAGCTGGAATGCAATCGCACAATCTTGGCTCCCTGCAACCTCTCATCATCTCACTGCAACCTCTGCCTCCTGAGTTCAAGCAATTCTCTACCTCAGTCTCCCAAGTAGCTGGGATTACAAGCACCCACCATCATGCCTGGCTAGTTGTATTTTTAGTAAAGGGGTTTCACCATCTTGGCCACACTGGTCTTGAACTCCTGACATCAAGATCCACCCATCTTAGCCTCCCAGAGCGCTGGGATTACAGGTGTGAGCCACTGCGCCCAGCCTGGCCACCCCAGCTCTTAACAGCTTCAGCTACCAGGTCCTCTTAGGTCCACAGCCATCACATACCTCTCAGCTCCAAAGGATGCCCATGATTCTGTACCAACAGGACCCTTTACGTTTCAGGAAGCTCAAGTGTATTTCTAACACTTGCAGCCAAACTGACCTTGCCTGAGACAGCGAATGACAGTGAAGGAGCCTGAATGCAGAAGGCTCAGAGGGCAGAGGCTGCCTCTGTGTAGCTCTTGACTAGAAGCACGGCACATGACTGGCGATCAAATACGTACTTGCTGAATCAGTAAATGAGCGAACAAGAGCAAGAGCAAGCAGCAGAAGCAGATGAGCAGGTGACATTTACAACCCCAGCATGTGTCACTGCCAGGCTGGGTACCTAGTACACTGAACTGAGTGAACTCGGGGTTATTTCCTCTAGGAGGAGAACAATGAGACAGAAGAGGGACCCCCCCCACCCCGCCAACTAGCAAGTGCGAACAGCAGCATGTAGGCTGAGGCCTCTCCAGGCTGGTGCCCCTGCTCCTCACAATAACCTACAACGAGGAGGCAGGCGGCTGCAGGAAATGTGATGGCCATGAAAGCTGGAGATGAGGAGACAGGAGCGGTGAGCCAGCAGGAGACAGAGAAACAGGAGGCAGTGGAGGAGAACAAGGCCACTAGGCCGAGGACCCCGAGAGCCCAGCGTGGGCAGGATGTGCTCACCTAGCCGCCGGGGCCTCCAGCCCTTCACGGTCCGGCCCCTCTCCACATCCACAAGGACCCTCCTGCCATCAATCTTCTTGCCGTCTGCGTGTTTGTAAGCGGCTGTAACAGATGTGGGGAGAGGGAGGGGAGAAGAGTCCCCAGAGGGTCCTCTAGTCAGGACAGGCCCAGGTCTACAGCATCCCCACCCTGTGTCCCCATCATCACGCACTCGCACACGCCCACCAGACAGCCAGGCAACTGACAGCCAGACCAACCCTCTCCCAAACCGGCGAGGGGCCTGCTCCATCTCAGTGTCTGCTTCCTCTCAGCACCCCAACCAGTCGTGGCTGGGGGAGATGTCCACCCTCACCCGCCACCCTCTGGGCTCCCAGGTCCTTCCTATCCCACACGATGGAGCAGCCCCCTCCCACCAGGGCGGCCAAAATTGCTGCAAAGAAACTGAAGGTTAACTCCACGCTGGACTCTGCTGTGGGGGAGGGGGCTCCTCCACAACCCCAAGCATGCACCCTGAGACACCATGCCAGGGCAGGAGGCCCAGCTGGGACGCTCCGCACCCCAGACCACACCGGTTTTGTTTTTGTTGGAGGGGGGTGAGTGGGGGGAACAGACATGAGAACAGAAAATGAACCAGAAGGGGGTGGGAGAAATCTTCAGGAAATGGCAGGGAGCAGAGAGGCGGGTTATACACTCCCAGGGGGCCTGGAGGGGCCCCTGCAGCCGGGGAGAGGGGCAGTGGAGGAAGCATGGGGAGCCGTGCGGTGCTACCGAGAATCCCTGCCTTACCTGAGACGACTGACCCTGCCTCCCCCCAGCCCCGCCCCATCTCGCTCTCCACAACCCTGGCTCAACATGTGCTGGGAGCAAACCCCAGCCTGAGCCTGCCATGAAAGGGGAGTCGGGAGTCATAGAGGGGAGATGGGGGAGGGGCTCACTGCTGTTCTCGGGCAGGGCTCAGCAGAGGGCAAACCTGAGGCACTGGCCTGTGATCACACGGGGATGTCGGGAAGGCCAAAAAGTCCCTGTTCCCCCACCCAGCCCTGGCCTAGGGGGGGGCTGTCCTCAACCAACCATAATACCCTGCCCCACCCCAGCCCGCTCCCCCCCCAAATAACAACCAGAGGAAGAGAAAAAGGTGCCATTTACCGATGCCGGCCTTGCGGGTGTCCAAACCGAGCGGGATGGGGGGGGGCTCGGCAACTCCTGGGGGCCTGGCGAGGAGGCGGGCTTCCCGGGGGGGGGGACACGGGACCGCTTACCTGGAGCCCCCAAGCTTACCTGAGCACGCGCACAGACCCCACACCCACCACCATGGGGTCAGCTAAAGCTACAGGGAGGGGAAGTGGGGATTCTAGGGAGCCAGGAGAGGAAGAGGAACCACATCTCCTGTACCACCTGGAGACAGGCAGAGGAAGTGGTGGACCCCAAAGAAATCTCAAGGAGGCCTTACAGTGGGGAGACGAGGATTGCCACCCAAGCTGGGAGCTGGAAAGCCCTAGACTATAGTGTGTCAATTTCCAAAGAAGGCAGGGAGGCCTCAAACACCTGTCCGCCCTTAGCAATCCCCAAGTCACACTGAACTAGGCACACAGCCCGCCACCCAGAGGACCAGGAGTGGCTTCTCCACCTCCAACTCCATGCTCCCTCCCACCAGCTGCCTCTGCAGAGGCTGGCACGCAGGGGTCCAGGAGATGGTGCTGCCAGTGCTCTGAGGAGGGGCCGCTTGGCCCCTGAACCCACAGGAGGGGAGTGGGGAAAGGCATTTAAGGACCAGGATCAAAGTCAAGCGAAGGAACCCCGCTTGGGTTCAGAGTCCCAAATCCCAAGAGGCCCAACCCGGGAAGAACAGCAAAGAAAACATGTGATTGTGTTCGTCTAGGCCTCTCTCTCTTTCCCTCTCTCTGAAGTCTCTAGACAGTGGAAGGTTCTTTAGTTAAAACCTACGACACCTTCAGCTGCTGGCAACTTACCCCTTGGTCCCTCCCACACCCCAAGCCCCAATTCCATGCACTTTGGGGAGCTCGTGACCACCTCTGGAGAGCGGCTGGACACCACAGCCAGCCCCCTTGGGAGGCTTCAACCACAGTAAGGAAGACAGGAAGGGGGCAGAGCACCCCCAAACTAGCAGCCAAAAAGATTCTCCAGGGCCAGCACAGTGGCAGCCCCACAGAAAGCACGGGGGCAGGGAGGGAAGGCGGAAGGGTTCCAGTGGAGCCCTGGCCTGGTGCCCTGCCCTCGGTTTTCCCGCCACCTCACCGCTGACATCGCAAAGCCGGGTCATTAGAGGCCGGGTGGAGCCCAAGCGGAGAGGCTGCTGCCTTTCCCACCGGGTTCATCCTTCCCCTCCTTCGATCAGCAAGATTCTCAGAAAGCATACGGATCGGGGCAGGAGGGACAAAGGGCACCCAAACAAGGAAAGGGCTGTGGGTGCGGGGAGGCTGCGGGGGCAACTGGGGCGGGAGGAGGGGTGCCTCGCTGCTCCTGAGCTGCCTGGCTAAGCTGGGCTGGTGTGCGGTGCTGAGTGATCTTACCCATGATACAAACCCTTATACCAACCATACACTGAGGTGTTGTAAGGGGAGCGTAAGCATCAGCTGCAAGCCAGCTGCGTGGTGGCTGCAGTGACAATAAGAACAGTCAATTAATACGGCGGCCCCTGGACACGCCGCAGCCCTGCCCACCCTCCCCCACCCATCCCTGCCCCTGTGGACGCCGCGGCAGCCTCAAAGGGGGCTTTGGAACTGCAGGGGCAGGCGCTCAACATGCCTATCACCCCACTGCCCGCTGAGGAACAGGGTGGGGGGGCCAGAGCTGGGGAGGCGGAGGGTTGGGTGGCCCAGCCCCAGTTCTACTGGGGGGGAAGAGAGGGCAAGTTCAAAGGCCAGTCCTCACTGGCAACCTGGCCGCCCCCAACTCCAGTGGGGGGGGATAATGGGGAGAGGCTCCCCCAAAATCCGACCCCTCCCCCCACCTCCGGCTGGCCCCGGCCCCCCACCCAGTTCCCTCTTTGCCCCTGAGGTTCAACGTGTGACACTTACCTCCCCAGGTTCACACACACACACGTTGTGGGGGATTTGGTTTTTGTTTTTTAAAAAACACGTATATAAAAAAAAAAAAGATATATCAGAAACAGAGGGAGGAGGAGAAGAGACATCGCTAATGTCAGGTGTGGCAGGGTGGGGAGGGGACAGACTGGGAAGGGCTGGGGCAGCAGAGAAGTGAGAGGGTCAGAGGGCAGCGCTGCGGCGGGTGGTACTCACAGTGCATGTCCCGCTCGTGTTCATACTCGATGAAGGCATAGCCGCGGGGCTTTCCCGACCGCTTACTGTACACCATGTGGATCTGTGGGCGCGGGGACAGGGCTGAGTCCCGCCACAGGGCAGCTCCGCCCCAACCACCCCACAACAGCCTGCACAACAGGCCCAGGGCCGGGCGAGGCCTCAGACCCTCTGTCCTTCAAGATCCCCAAGTGACTTATGATCTAATGGCAGGAGCAGAGGGCACAGAGGTGACTTCCTGGAGAAAATGACACTTAAGCTAAGACCTAAAGACCGAACAGGGATGAAGGGACAGTGAGGTGTCTGCCTCAGCCTCCCGGGTAGCTGGGATTACAGGTGTGCACCACCACACCTGGCTAATTTTTTATATTGTTAGTAGAGATGGGGTTTCACCATGTTGGCCAAGCTGGTCTCAAACTCCTGACCTCGTGATCTGCCCGCCTCGGCCTCCCAAAGTGCTGGGATTACAGGTGTGAGCCACTGCGCCCGGCCAGGGACAGGGGAGTTCTAAGAGAAAAAGAAAGGACGTGTGCACAGCCAGGGAGGCCTAAGAGAATGTGGCACACTAAGGATGGGTCCCATGTGAGGATGGCAGCAAGGGAGGGGGAGGGGAGATGTGAGATGGAGGTCCACAAGGCCACACAGCTTGAGGAAGGGCCCTAGAAGGCCAGGCAGTCACACCTGGACCTGTCCTAACGTGCTAGGGACCCATGGGAGGCTGTGTGCAGAGGAGACAGGGTCAGCTCTGGATGGCAGAAAGACCCCCCTGGGACCACGTCAGGGAGAACAATGGGAAGGGCAGGGCTGTTGACACAGAGGAGGCCAGAATGATGCAGGGAAGGTTTCTGGGAGGTGACAGCATTTGAGCTGGTCCCTAAAGGATGGCTACCAGTTGTCAACCAATCCAACTCACATCATGGATGAGCTCACCTGGTCCTAGGACTTGAACCTGGGACCCCACAGCCTCCAAAACCCAACTGAGATTCCTGACTCGAATGGGATCAAAGGGATGAGGGCAGGGCCAAGGTTGTCACTGGACTGTGCAGGGCATAACGACGCGTGTGCCGTGTTTATATACGTGTGTATATATACACACACACAGGCACAAGCCACCACACTTGGCTAACATTTTGTATTTTTAGTAGAGACAGGGTTTCACCATGTTGGCCAGGCTGGTCTCGAACTCCTGATCTCTGGTGATCTGCCTGTCTCAGCCTCCCGAAGTGCTGGGATTACGGGCATGAGCCACCACACCCAGCCTACTTTTTTTTTTTTTTTTTCCTCCTTTTGTGGAGGACGGGGTCTCACTATATTGCCCAGGCATGTCTTCAATTCCTGGGCTTAAGCTATCCTCCTGCCTTTGCCTCTCGAAGAGCTGGGATTACAAGAGTGAGTCATTGTGCCCGGCCTGACGCATATAAACACACACACACACACACACACACACACACACACACACACACACACACATATTTTTTTGAGATGGAGTCTCACTCTGTCATGTCACCTAGGCTGGAATGCAGTGTCGCAATCTTGGCTCACTGCAACCTCTGCTGCCCGGGTTCAAGTGATTCTCCTGCCTCAGCCTCCCAACTAGCTAGGACTATAGAGCATGCCACCAAGCCTGGCTAATTTTTTTATTTTTAGTAGAGACAGCGTTTTGCCATGTTAGCCAGGATGGCCTCGATCTCTTGGCCTAGTGATCCACCCACCTCGGCCTCCCAGAGTGCTGGGATTACAGGCATGAGTCACCGCACCCAGCGGTGACATAAATATTGTTTAAAAATGTATCAGAAATAGAGGAAGGGCCGGGTGCGGTGGCTCAAGCCTGTAATCCCAGCACTTTGGGAGGCCGAGGCGGGTGGATCACGAGGTCAAGAGATCGAGACCATCCTGGTCAACATGGTGAAACCCCGTCTCTACTAAAAATACAAAAAATTAGCTGGGCATGGTGGTGCGTGCCTGTAATCCCGGCTACTCAGGAGGCTGAGGCAGGAGAATTGCCTGAACCCAGGAGGCAGAGGTTGCGGTAAGCCGAGATCGCGCCATTGCACTCCAGCCTGGGTAACATGAGTGAAACTCCATCTCAAAAAAAAAAAAAAAAAAAAGAAATAGAGGAAGGAGGAGAACAGACACAGCTAATGTCAGTTTTTGTGCTGGATGGCCTCAGATTCTTACTACTGCCCAGTGAAGACATTTGTCTCCCACTTTAGATAAAGAAAATCAGGCAGAGAGCACTTAAGTAGCTCAAAAGAAATCAGTAACAAAGTCTTCCTCTAAAACAAGAATCAGATACATATTCTGCAAAGACCTAGACAGTAGATTATTTCCAGCGTTGACAGCCTTATATTCTGTTGTAACAACCCAAACCTGCCTTACAACAGTAGCAGCCAGGCTGGGCGTGGTGGCTGATGCTTGTAATCCCAGCACTTTGGGAGGCCAAGGCCCGTGGATCACAAGGTCAGGAGTTCAACACCAGCCTGGCCAACACAGTGAAACCCCATCTCTACTAAAAATACAAAAATTAGCTGCACGTGGTAGTGGGCACCTGTAATCCCAGCTACTCAGAAAGCTGAGGCAGGAGAATCACTTGAATTCGAGAGGTGGAGGCTGCAGTGAGCCAAGATTGCGCCACTGCACCCCAGCCTGGGCAACAGAGCTAGACTCTGTCTCAAAAAAAAAAAGGGCAGCCAAAGACAATGTATGAACAAACAGCTGCCCAGCTGAGCCAATAAGACTTTATTTACAAGCAGTAAGTCTGTAGTTTGCCAGCCCCTGCTCTAAACCAGGCACCAGCAGTCACTACAGTCATTACTTCTCATCTGACTCCTGCTCCCCAAGGCCTGCTGCATGGAGATTCACTCAGGATGCTTCATCCCAGGCCCTGAAATGCTGCGCGCCTGGCTCAGGGCTGGGACCTCGCCCCCTCCCTTTCAGGCTACAGCCCTCCTCCACGCACCCCCCCCATTCAAACACCCTGACCCACTTCACTTACTCTTTTGATGGGTCCATACACCTCAAACTCTCTCCGGAGCTTGGATTCTGTTGTGTCATAGTTCTACAAGGAGATGGAGATGACGTTAAATGGGAAAAGGGAGATACCCCTGGAACATTCCCTGGGACCTAGCCTATTTGCCCTTTGTCCCAGACCCAGGTGCTCAGCAGTCTGGGGTTCCAGGGGCTGGGAGCTGGGGACTTACCACTCTCGCCACAAAGAGAGTCTTGAAGGCATCCCCCTGAGCATTGGGATCATTGTGGGGGTCCCCTGTGTAGGACGAAAGGAATTTTGTAAGCTGAAGATGTCCACGGTCTCAGGTAGCAAAACAAATACAGATGGGCAGAGGCCAAAAAGAAAAAGAAGGCACTGGGAGAGGCCCCTAACTGGAGGAACACGGTGGTGACCTGGTGACTTTGAGCATGTCCCTCTCTGAACCTGTTTCTCTAAGGCACAGTAGCCTTTATCAGAGTGGCTGAGAGATGAGAATCCAGGCTGCTGAGGGGAGGAGGTAAGGCTGACTTCAAGCTGACAGGATGTAGCAGGCCCAACTACCATTTCAGACCTACAGAAGCCACGAGGGCCCCATAGCTCCCAGATGCAAGGTGATCCAAACAGTAACAGCCCAAAAGCGCCTCCCTGGAGATGCAGCTGATGCCCCCAGGTTCTGAGCTCCCGCCATTAGCAGAGCCACACTGCCACCCACTGGACACAGACTGCAACTACAGTCCACAGGAAAACCTGAGACCTAGCAGCCCCAAGGCTACGAATGAGAGCCAGGAGAGCCAAGCTTACCTAAGGCCTGCTTTCCCGTGTGCCCTGTGTCTCTAAAAGAAACCCAGGAACTGACAAGCATCGGATCAGATTCTCACTCCAGCCCCATTACTGTGAAGCAAACTGTCCTATCTGGCTACTGAGGAATAACAATCCCCAAAGAGAAGAGCCAGGAGTCTCCTAAGAAACCACATCCACAGGTGATTCTGCTGGGTCAGGCCTGGGAATGAGTCCTTTTCACCAAATGCCATGGCCCCAGCACATAATGACCCTGACTGCTGCCAGGCTCTCAGGACACTCTGCCCTTTCTTCCTTGGTACAGTGTCCCCTCAGAAGCCGGCACATTCTGGGAGAATGTGAGTAACAGTGACCCATTTATGCCGGAGGGTACAACTTTCTGACCTGCAGACTTGAAAAAGCAGACCTTGGCAATGATCTTGAGCAGCAGGATATAAATAACTCCCACATACTTAGCGTTCCAATAATGGAACACTAGGCATATAATTTACTGAGCACATACTATGGCCCAGACAGTGCTGGACACTGAAACTTAATTATTACTACTTTGTAAATGGAAGCAAAACAGAACAAACTCAAGACACAGAAAAGGGAGGTGGTCAAAGTGGCAAAGGGCGAGGCCAACTTGCCCTCCCAGCCCAGGCATTCACATTACTAGGCTCCTGCCCCAAGTCCCCGGGTGCTACCTTTCAGGAAGACAGCAGGTGTTGCCAGAAGCTAGAGAAATAAAGTCTCAGATTTGTTTCTTATGAGAGGATTCAACTACAAGCCTAAACTAAAGTCAAGATGACTTTAAGGAATGCTTCAAAAACCAGTAGCCTGAGCCACAATTTAAGGGAATCACTATATAGGACGGATGGAAACATCTGAAAACTACTCCACCTCGGCGTGCTCCCTACCCACTCCTCGAAGTTCCTTGCCAGGCCGGGCACGGTGGCTCACGCCTGTAATCCCAGCACCTTGGGAGGCTGATGAAGGCAGACCACATGAGGTCAGGAGTTTGAGACCAGCCTGACCATCATGGAGAAACCCCGTCTCTACAAAAAAAAAATTACCCAGGCATGGTGGTGGCATGTGCCTGCAGTCCC